GTGAATAAGCGATATTGACTACATACATGCCTACATACATGTTTCTAATTACAGCATCGCGAGTAGATAAAAAGAATTTCACTGCCAAGGGCCTCGCTCTAGCAAATTTAGACTGTTTTTAATATGCGATTCCTTACTGAGACTCTGATAGTGACAGCTCTTATGAGACTACATGGCGACCAGAATGTTCTTATAATATAAGCCGTGGTTATTTGATTGGACATGCTGATAAATAGGCTTTAAGGTTGCAGATCTAGAATCCGAAAGGGATGCCAGTTACGACTTTATGCTTCTCGGTAAGAATTTGTTGGGAGAGATGGACTTTTCTATAGTAGGGTATGAGGAAGGGGGGGGTATTGCCTTACCACGTTGTGATGCATCCAGTGCGATAGCTTTTCTTTTCACAATCTTCTTACTCTTCTTCGGGGTATCTTAGAATCTTTTGAGGTATACATTTCCGAGTCTCCGAAGATCGCCGTTATTCTACCTTGATAGGTACTGAATATTCTGCTGGGTGTTGTTTTTTTTTTCCTTCGGATGAAAGACTAATTCTACCTACGTTAAGGGAAAATTCTCCTAACCCTGATGTAAGAGATGATCTTCAAAGATTCGGAATTCCATATACGGTAACTTCGCTATAACCAGAGCTCCGGGAATCGTCTCCAATCTTTTTTTTTCTTCTTCTTTCTCTTTCTTTGTTCAGCGAGAAGTATGTATGTATGTATGTATGTACATACAGGTCTTTTCCAAGAAGATAACGGAGGTTGTTTTATGCAGTCTGCATGCCGCCTACTGATAAAGGCGAAGATCAGCCTTAATTGACTTCTTCCGTGCCTGGGTGCCTGGCAGATGGGTAACGCCAAGAAGGACAAAGATTTCCCTCGGCTGGTAGCGAATCTTGCACTGAATCGCGACTATGTAAACAGCACGCTATGATCGGCACTTGGATTCCCCTGTTGATGCGGTTATGCAGCTCAGTGCCGTTTACCTTTTGTAGCCTCCATCGTCTTTGAAACGAAACGATTTACGGAATTGGGAAACTCGGTCCACGCGTTTCGTAGAGAATGGGGGTTACATATCAATAAGTTGTGTCTATTCTTGCTACTTACTTACTTAGGTATGTACCTAACCTATCTACCTATCTATGTATAAGTTCCTTGTAACGCAATAATGCACCGATGACAAGTTGAATTATAATCTACCATACGCGGCAGGACATCTCTTATTGGACCGTATAACATCTAACATCAGAACCCATATCTATCGACTCGTACGAAAGAGACGTAATAAATTATTACGTTGGAGTCCACACGATACTCCCTTGAGTTTCTTATTTCTTATCTCCTCTATAGAGCATCGCAGGGCGGAAACACACATAGCTCCTAGTATCTCGCCAAGGAGCTAGACAAGCTTCCCTAAGCTTTTACAATTTTCCCGTTCTTCTAATGTAACCTCTGGGCCCGTCACCGGCTTTTTGTAATAAATAGGAACACCGGCTACATTGGTTGGGCTTTACATAGGGCCAACGAGTTAATGTTGTATCACCCCACTTGCAGAGGTCCCCTTTCGATATTGATTGCCAGTTTTAGTTTCTTCTCATGCACGTTGAGTTTATGTATGTTAGGTACATAGGTATATAGTAGACCGGGGTTGATTATGGACCAGTAAACTTGCCTCTTATTTTCCTCGATGGGAATTCAACCGTATGCATTCTCGAATAATGACAACTTCATTACCTATAGAGCCACAGCCAGGACCGTAGTTTAACTCAGTGATGACTTGGCGTTTCACTCCGAGGGGCAATACACGCGTAACCAGTTAGATAATTGATTTATAAGTGAGTAGGGTTACCTATTACTGGCTACTTCGACTCAAATATTGTTACGCAAAGTGATATCAACTGCTTGGAAATAGTCGTTCGAACCATTACCAAGCAATGAAGTTTATGGAAAAGGCAACGTGTAGACCAGGATGGCGAATACATATCGTACTTGACTAGGTTAAGCATGTCACGTCGCCGCAATCGCTTAATTAGTGAACCGAGTGGGCAAGTATGTAACGCTGTTTACTTCTTCCGGTCTGGGTCACGGCTGCATGATTCGCGCCGCGTCTATAGCTGCAGTAGGATATTTCCTCATGGAAGATGATAGGATAAAGCTTGCGAGGGTAGTTGATACTCACCGACCACCCATGTCACCACCATCTGAAATTTTAGGCATGCGGCTGCTCCAGTAGCGCCGGCTGCCGATCTGCGAACGCAGAATATTACTGGTTTAACATTTTGCCCCTGGCCTTGCCTTGCCTTGGGGTGGCCCTGTCGAGATAGGCATTAACCCCGGTGGGATTGGTCGACGGGGTGGGTTCGTCTGGGTTGGTCTCTTTGATAATGAATTCATATATGTAAATGTTGCTATGAGGTAGTAGATATGAAGATTTACCTAGGGACATCAGTCATTATTTACGAATACCGCAACTCATATGCCGATCCTATGTTGTGCGGTACGGCCGTGAGCCGGCCACGACCATAAAAGGAGGTCTATCTGCTCCCCCCTAAGTTGATGAGAGAACCTCACAGCAGTTCCTATAGCGATTCCGTCAACCGTATCAGCAGCTCTCAACTCCCTGTCACTTAATTGTCGGTACAGACCCTCAAAACATCCAAAAAATGGCTCGTTTCTTCGCTGCTCTGCTGGCCGCCGCCGCCATGCTCCAGGTCGGCTCTGCTGCCCCTTTCCCGTACACCAACGGGACCTCCCCCGCTCCTCGTTCCGAGTCTGTATCGGGCGCAGTTAACAGCACGGTCTCGCACGAGGTCCTCAAGCGCCGACTCAGGGAGTACCCCATTGCCCTCGTCCGACCTTAGATGCGATATCTCTTCAAGCACCGTCCCGACTGCAAACCAACGACGTGCTACATTGGGGAGCTCGGTGGGCGACTTCAAGCCACCGGCCCATTCAGTAGATCGGATCTACCATCATACAGGCGGAACCGGCATTCGCTGTCTTCCGATACGATTTCGGTTCTCCCCGTCCCGATCAATCTTATAAAACCGAAAACGACTAGTATTTATATTCATGTCAATAGACGATTTTACGACCACTGGGAAGATTTTTCTGGTTTCTAATTATCGGAAAACCAGAGGGGAAATAAAGGGGGCTCGCTTCGATGTATATTTAATAGCCGGCCTCTAAATCTTGTCAATGAGGGAATGGGGGGAGTTGGCTGCGAGTGGAGTTGAGCGGAAAGATACCATCGCGAGGTTTACTGTCCTTCATGTCCGAATTCCACAGCCAATTCAATTCGTTATATAGTATAATATAGACCTCCCTCGCTATACTTTTATTATTGAGTATGACTTGAATTTGTGTGATTGCATATGTTAGTCTTAGGCTTGTTGCCATCTACATTGTAACTGTGTACTTGTAACTAAAGACCGTGATATAGGCACTAAGCGCTTAGGTACATACCAACCTATTACCAAACTAATCTAATATAATATCAGTATAGCTCTATAGCCGAAGAATCTTAAGAGAAGAAAAGTTGTTGAACAACTCCAGCTCTGAAGAGTGAACTATAAAATCTATGAGTTATCTCATTGGTGGATAAGATGTAATTGTATTTACCCCTGAACCTAGAACTGAACTCCATAATGTTAACGTACTACATGCTTTTCACGGGATCGAGAGTCGATTGTATCACTTATATTTATTTACTACCTGTTTTAAAAAGTTGTGCTAAATTCTCTGCTATAATATAACTACCTACATAATAATACCATGTAGCGTCGTTCTAGTGCGAAGAATCTTCCGTAGCCGAGCCGCATAAGCTGCCGGTAGAATGCAGGAACGGAGCAAAATGACCGCCAACCCCATACTTAACACATATCTTTAGCGTACCAATAAAACTGCAATCATGGGTCGAGTAGTCTTAGCTTACGAACTATAGAACTCTCAACATATTGATCCTATGTAGTTAAGCTACGAACAGTCTTACATATCCAATCATTATAGATAATTATCTCATAAGAAATTCTAATATTTATAACTTAGTAAATGTTAAAGTAAGAAGACCTTATTCCGGACCTCTATAAGTTTATCGTGATAGATTTACTACATATTAGGTCAGTGCCCTGTGGGTGTCTGGAGTACCTATTAACAACACGATAAATTTACAAAAAAGCCGTAACTTTTACAGGTTATTTTTTTCAAATTCAATAAACTCAGCATACGATACGTATGCAGGCATCGGTACTATATATCTAAGAGTTACTATTCGTGATAATTTTGCTAGCAATCCCCTCTTCGTAAACGGAATAACTATGCAACCTACAAACATGTTCACGACTTTGTAGGTATCCACTTACTCAGTTGGGCACCTCCCTCTCATCTCATTCGCTCTTCAATCAATTACCCTAGTCCTTGTCTTTAATGTGGCCTTTCCCTTTGCTCACCACTCCAGATTTAATGTTAAGTCTTTAGATATTTAAAAATGCTAGAAAGGCCTAGTTACGTAAATTACATATTATAAGAAAAACAAAACCCCCCAAATATCTCCCTTAAAATGGGAACCTACCTTTTTGTCAATGCTTGAAATATAGCTTAAGAAACCGGGTATTAAATCTATTTACTAAGGTATACGACGAAGGTATACCCTTGCTCAGTCACTAAGTTCACCACAGTATTAGCGCCTCAAAGATGCGTGTAGCATATAAACCGAAAATTCACGACTAATACATCTTAGTATCGTCCAGATATATATGATGATAGAGCTAATGACCATGATACAACGACACTCGTGCTTGAATCGTTCTATTCACATCACTCATTTAGTGACAATCAGGGATGAATCGCATTAATCTCAGCTCCGTCCAGCTCTTGTATCCGAAAGCAAACCTTCAACGCCAATGTGGTTATCGTAACATCCATCCTATCATACCCAGACCCGCACTGTAGTAGTCGTTATTCCTGGACCATCCTAAACCTAACCCAATTGTTCTTCGCCTAGTCGACGATAAGGCCTTCAAGAGCTTGCATAGCTTTCGTTCCTTCTTTCTCGAAGGCTGTGACCATGGTCTCACATTCGTGTTTTAACTTCTTCTCGGCTTCTTCAGCGTTGTGGTAGATCCACTCCTCGACAGTCATTCGCTTCTCAGGGCTAGTGAGATCAGAACCGCTTTTCAAGAACTTCGCTGATCCTGAGGTATTCTCTTTATCTATATCCTCGAAAACCATATCCACATCGACAGCAGCCCAGGGAGTATTACTCTGTAATCCAGCCACAACATTTCGTTTGGATGGTGAGGTGCGTATAGGCGTAGCAGTAATGGGAGCCAGGACAATTCGGGAGCTATTTGCAGTATTTGAGGGCTTCGAAGATGGGGGCTCATTTTCAGCATCAGAAGCCTGAGGCGACTGCGATGGTGACAAAGCCGCCTGATTTGCCGCCGGGGCTGGAGATTTTAAGGCAATTGGCGTTGAAGGAGGCTGGGGCTCATCCGACTCCATTGGCGGTGGAGGTAAAGGTTTACTGACCAAAGGAGAAGACGCTGCTGCGGGGGAGAGAGTCTTCGTCTTTGTTGCAGGTATTTTTTCAGCGGAATTGCCGACGTCAATAGGTTCGGATGGAGCCCTAACCTCAGCATCGGCAAGTTCATCAGGATTCGGGTCTGGAGTTACTATTGAAGCCTTTTTACTAGGCCGACCACGTTTCCTAGGAGCCGCATTCGACGCAAGGCTAGTTCGGACCATAGTTGAGTTGCTGGCAATACTCACGTCATGACCTTCGGCTAATTCATCTACAGCTGCCGTCTCGACATCTGGCGCAGCAGACTCGGCCTCTTTAGCTTTTTTTGTTGTTTGCTTCGAGGCCTTCTTGGAACCTACTTTACGACCCCTCTTTGGAATTGGAGGTGTTTCAACTCGCTCAATTTCCATCTCGGCTTCTAGCGCTTTCAGCTCATCTTCAACTACTGCCTCGTCAATATGAGGGGGCTGAGGGTCGAACATAGCATGATCATTCGATGCTTCGCTTTGACTTGCAGGGTCTTTTTTCTGAACGGCAGCCTTCTTGCTCTTATGCTTAGGTAAGACTTTCTTTCGGTCTGAATCTGAATCGGCTGCAATATTTTCGTCGTCTGACAACGGTCGGTCAAGATCGGCCTGTAGTTGTCTATCAAGTTCTTCGTCATCCATCATATGAGCAGCATCTCCTTGGAGGGAAATATTTGATATAGTAGATGCTGTAGAGGCCTTTCTAGTCTTGCGAGTGATAGTTGATCTGGCCTTCTTTCCTTTCGCTTTCGGCTTAGGAGCTGGATCTATGTCGGACATTTCCTGGTCGGGTTCCTGTTCAGTAACGGAAGCCTCAGCAACACTTGCCTTCCGTGTGCGCGTAGCTCTCTTCTTAGCTGCTGGGACGTCCGCCATTGTTAGCTCCGAGTCTTCAAGGGGGTCACTAGCTCGCTTGCGTCCACGGGTAGCCTTCGGTGGCGGCGTTGGGGGTGCCGGTTCCTCTTGCGGTTCAGGGGAATCTTCAAGCACCTCGACCACCTCTTCCTTCTTCGCTCGAGTCCTCTTGCCCTTGGAGGCCGTTGTCTTTTTTGCCCTACTCCGCTTTGTGCCACCTTGGGTCATGACAGACGTAGTAGTCATAACGCTATCGTCATGATCAACCTGAGGCTCAAGGAATGATGTTGCGTCAGACGCAACAGTCGTAGCGATGGACTGAGAGGATAGTCTGGACGACTGGGAGGCTCTAACACCCTTGCCTCTACCTTTCTTCTTTGTTGGACCCTTCTGATATTGGTTCAACAATGCAAAAAACTGACAGTCTGGAGACCGCCTATAATGCTCATCCCTATTATAACATGTTAATTTATGTGAGAGCAGTAAAAACGCCACGCTGCTTACAATGGGTTATCTTTGGGTTCCCAACCGTCAAGCGCGAGAGAACAGTAGGTGCAAGTTGCCATATCGTCCGAATCTGCAGTCGGTGTGTATTTCCAACCGGCTTCCACAAGCTATATCGGTTTAGCAAAATCGGACTGGAGATGATGGGGGACATATGCTGACCTGTTTGGTTTTGCACTTCCATCCTCTCTTCCCTTCATGAGGCCAGAGCCCCCCGAATGTAGCTTTCCGCGCTTCAGCCATTGGTACATCGCTAGGATCATCGTAGCCATAATCTCCTAGGCCTGCCTCGATAGCGGCGACGATAGCCCAGCCGCAACGTGGTGACAGTCGTAGGTGTTCCTCCAATGGGCTATCATTCTCTTCCCATCCCTTGAACGCCTTTACGCAAAGGAAACAAACAGTGTTGTCGGGTGCTTCGGGGGAAGGGTCGAAGTAGAATCCGGCTTGAGCAAACTTTGAACAGCAATGATTAGTATTAATATAGGGTAGTAAAACCTATGCGCGCGTAGAAACTCACTTGGACTGGGTCAAGTTGTTTGTGCGGCCAAGTAAGCGCCTTTGAAGCCTTTCCTTTAATACCAGATGGTCGGTGTGTGGATTGAAATGACGCCAATCTACCATCATAGGTAAAGTAACGATCGGGAGCCTCGTCGGTATCCATGTCTTAAGAAGCTGTCATGCGAAAGTAGTCGGCAAAGGAAGTTGATCGGATGGAAACGGTATCTAAGCACAGCGAACTTTACGAGTCTACTGGCGCGTCGCAAAAAAGATATTCGAGATTAGAGCGGAAGAAGTGTATATCATATGCACAGAAATAGCATCATATAACCGTGAAGAGCACCTGCAACACGAGTAAAGACTGCAAAGGGAAAAACAATTGCTTTGAAATTTAGTTGTCAAATCGACTGCAATGTGATGTTAAACGCCAAACGGGGTTCAATTGGCTGCTTGACCGCGTTTCTGTTTACTTTCCGTTCCGGGTCCCACCTATATTAGCCCCACCGTTACTTCAGCCACACAAAAATATGTGCATTAGGTAAAGTGGCCCACCTAACTCAATGAGGCTCTGTAGCTTGTAATGTACGTACCTTAAGCTACGTACCTTAGGTAAGCTTCCTAACCTAGAATACTGTCAATGAGACATAAGCTGACAAGGAACTATGGACAATTATTTAAACAGATGGCATTGTGTCTATTATTACACTAGTTACATATACAGAGCTTTAAACGCCGTGTTTTGTACAACTACATGCTCAACATGAGTAATAAAATATAATAATACAGATGCGTATATTTTTCAAGTGGAAAGACTTGCGGATGGGCCTATTTAAGGACTTAATCCTCTACGGCTGGTGGGCTTAATAGACTTAATATTTCATTGACCGATTGATATAATAGCTAACTCATCACACTCATACTCAGTAAGCTGTGAGGTGAGATTGCTGAGACTAATTGGCCCCTTCGTACCCCATAGCAAGATGTAGCGTCTATTTCCCCGTCATCAAATATCTGCAGGTACAAGCATTGAAAATCTGGGGATGTCATAATGAAGAGTGAGTAAGGCTTCCCCAAACTGCCCACCAACGCGAGTTGAAAACGAGTATCGCCGCTTACGCCAGCGTTCGGTCGATAACAAGCTAGCTTAACGTGTTCCCACTCTCGACTTATATCATTTTCTAGGCTAGGGAGCCTTGGTTGCCTCAAATGTATCGCTATGGGGCTTAGTGATGACATACAAGATTAACTCTTTAGGGACTACTGTCAAATAATTGTTTATGGAGGACAATTCCTTTATTATCATAATAACAAATCATACAAATAAATACTTTACATATTCAGTCTAATCTTCTCATCGCAATACTATGTTACATAGCTTCGAAATGAAAGTCGGTATCAAGTTTTACGGTACCTATAACTCTAGGTAACTTAACCTAGAAGATAGGGAGTAGATATATGACATTGATTGAAGCTCACATAATATTAGTGTAAATAATTGCACAAAGGTCCCCAATATGTGTCAATAAGGTTATTAATAGGCTGCTATTAAAGTGAGCCTCAAGGATGACATAATTGCTGACTTCATCACGATATTCTGGCCCTTCGGCTACGTAAGATATTGCAACTTCTAGGTAAGATCCAATCCGAGTCTGGCAAGGCGAATAAATAAAAGCTGAGAATGATAGATCATATGGCCAAGTCTTGCTCAGCTAATCCGCGATATTGTAACCAATATCTCAGAGCGTGCTGACTTGAGTGAAAGTGAAGAACAGTCAGCAACCTACTAGAGAACACGTTAAGAAATAAACTAGCCTTGTAGCGATTATCTGTGCGGCTATGATTGCCAGTCAGAGTTACGGACAGGATATGGGGAATAGGGGAAACAAGGGGAGCCCCTACGATATGTGGCAATTCTAACTCATCTGGCCACGAGATGCGGTCATGCGTATTCACATCACAGTACTGCCGGCAATAAGCCCTCGTTACGGCGGTAGACGATGATAGAGTGAAGGACTTTTAACCACGACTGGGGATGGTTGCACACCTAGGTGGGAAGAGATAGGACTCGAGGAAATATAAAAAGGGGCAGGTTGGCAACCACAGAGTTAAAAGAATCACCACTCACAACATCCACAATCAACAGCAAGTCTTCATCAACACTCTACCACACACTTTCTACAACTCCTCCCAGTTTTAAAAAACCAGTCACAATGGGTTTCACTCACTACTCCGGCCCCGCCTCCAGCTTCCCCGGCATGAACCAGTGGAAGTCGTTCGAGGAGATCTTCAACGCCAACAAGTCCGCCATGGCAGCCACTGGCGACACTGGCGAGGACATTGGCCGTATCTGGAACGCCGTCAACGAATGCGCCAAGCTCGGTGTTGAGGAGCGGTTAGTTTATATCTCTGCCCCCCCCCCCCCCTGAATCACCTCGCTCTAGAACACACCACTAACTAAGCCGATACCAGCGTCATCTTCGCCATCATCATGCAAGAAAGTACCGGCAACGTCGGTGTCCGTACCACCGTGAACATGGACGGCCACTCCACCGCCGGCCTCATGCAATGCGACGGCAGCCCTGGCTTCCCCGGCCAGCACGGTCTCAGCCAGGTACGTAACGCAACCAAGCAAAAAGGGACGAGTGAAAAAAAGGAGGAATAGTCCCATACATACCTATCCCTCATTACCCTCACCCTCGCCCCAAGCACTCAAAAATTACAACCGCTAACAACACCACAGGACCAAATCACCTCCATGGTTCGCGCCGGCACCACCCACTTCAAGCAGAACCTCAAGGACTTCGGCGACGCCGACACCGCCGAGTGCATCTACAAGGCCCTGCGCGAGTACAACTCTGGCTCCGTCAACCCCAACGACCTCAGCGACGGCCGCGGCGCTACTGCCAACTACGTCTCCGACGTTGCCAACCGCCTCCTCGGCCGCACCAACTAAGCTGCTGCTGCTTGTTCTGTCCATGTTAAAAGGGGGTGAAGGGGGAATGCGCAATATATAGGGGGGAGTTTGATAAATATATATATATACGTGTCGGAGGGAGAGCAATAGTTCCAATCATATACACTTAGAACACATTCATTTTTGTATATAGCAGTCTAATACAATCTCTTCTACCGCTTGAAATATTTTCGGCTAGGTAGTAGCTCAAGTGTATCTCTATACCATTGATTTGAAATATACACCAATTACCTAGATACCTATATTATAAAAGTGTCCAGGTAGTATTTAAAAATGAATGCAGACACTTAGCTATTAACCCTACGTCGTCTTTTGAACATATACTTCCAAGTTATAATTGGATATACATTCGGTTGAATGGGAAATGAAATAGAGTTGACGATGAACAATGTTGGATACTTACCTAGATATCTCCAGTCTATTACATATAGATACACCATAGGATCTCTCTACAGGAATACTACGAGCCTTATAATTATATACTACTACCATTGTCCGTCCTAAGCACATCTTAAAAAGAATATAACGCAAAGCTCTGTTTCGCATTTAACTAAGTTCTATAGTAGGCTAATTCGCTCCATAAAAGTAATGGAAGAACTAGGAGGTCTCCTAGGAGGTCTACTAGTATATAGCCGGAGTAGAGGCAGTAGCAACAACTTACAAACCTCGGAATAACTCCATACTATCTATATTAGACTATGCCATACCGTTGGTCCGTCTATAATTTCCTTTCTTACGCTGTAGAAGTAAGTGCAATGGCGGTAAGGCCCAACTCTGCATAAAAAGCGTCACTACTGGGCTTTCTACCCAGGAATTGTTCAAGGGTCGTCATTTCGTCCTGGCTACCTCCTCGCTCTAGCACAGTGTGGCGGTATCTACGGCCCTCTTTTCCATTCATCGGATCTTTTTTGAAGACAGAATGGAACATGTCGGTGCTGTAGACCTCCGAGGATAGGTAGCCATAGTAACCAGCGTCGTAACCCCCTATGAGATGACCGAAGGTCGCTTGTCCATTACCCCAGGTGCTATTATCCAAGTTTAGTTAGTTACATGGTAACCACGATACAAGGCGCATTATACGGGGAGACGTACCTTGGCTCTCCAAGAGCTTCGGGGCCCTTGAGGCCTGCAATCTGGGTCCGTAAATCGTTGTATAAGGCACTGAGATCAATCTTTTCTAGTTCTTCGTGGGTAGTAGGGGAGTGCACTGTCATGTCGAAGATACCAAAATGCAATTGCCTGAGGTTGAATAGGGCGTCATTGACGTGTTTGGTTGAGATCTGCTTCTCGATCAATTCATCGGGGATCTTCTCGCCGGTTTTATAGTGGTTGGAGAGGGCCTTGAGCTGACTAGGCGTCCAGCACCAATTCTCAAGCATCTGACTCGGAGCTTCAACGAAGTCTCTAACTGTCGCCGTGCCATGGAATCTACTGTATATAGTTCGGCCAGATAAATCATGAATACCATGTCCAAGCTCGTGGAAAAGGGTCACCACTTCATCGTGCTTCAGGAGAGAGGGCTTCTTCTCCGTCGGCTTAGAGAAGTTACATACGAGGGCAGTAGCAGGATACCTACGCGTTCCGTCCTTCTTCAGGAAACCGGGTTGCAAATTGAAGTTGGCAGCGTGGCCATACTTTCCTGGCCGTGGGTGTAAATCGAGATAGAGATAGCCAACAAAGCCATCACCCTCGGAGCTGTCGTCCCAGACGGAGAAAAGGATGACATCCTCATGCCAGGCAATGTCTTCGGCTTTACTGGTCGGAGATAGCCTCTTACGCTCGCTAGGGTCCAGTTCAACAAAAACTAGGCCAAATAACTCTTCAAAGATGTGTAGCATAGCTCGAACTGTGTTTTGCAGCGGGAAATATTCCGCAATCTTGACCTCGTCAATATTGTACTCCTGCTCTACCATCATGCGGTCGTAGAAGCGATGGTCCCAGAGGTAATAGTTTCCGTCTGGCTTAAGACCTCTCGACTCCTCGTCTTTTTTCTTCAGCTCGAGCAAATGATTCGTTTCCTTCTCACCGCCCGGAGCGAGGCGTTTTCGAAGATCTGATAAGAAGACGTTGACCGTAGCTGGCTCCTTAGCCATCTTATCTTCTATGCGGAAAGCGGCATGGTTGGGGTAGCCCAAGAGTCGGGCACCTTCATCGCGTAACAGAACAGCCTCTTTGAAGAGGGCGACGTTTTGGTTGCTCTGTTATGATTTATTAGCCAAGACTGTCCGAATAAAGCCTTTGACTAGTACGAGTAGAAAATATCGGGGGATAACTGTATAAGTACCTTATTCTCGTTTGCAATGAAGAGCTTCTTCCTTGTTTCCGGGTTTTTAGCGAACTTTAAGGTAGGGAAAAGGTCAGGATACTTAAAGCTGAGCTTGAGTTTTCCTTCATTCTCCTCTGTTCCCTTTTCTAAACCGTCGATCACGTCAGATGGAACACCGTCTAGTTCTTCCTCGGTGAACCATAGGCCGCCGTTCTCTTCGTTCAGATTCTTCTGAAACTCGATACCTATCTGGCTTAAACGTTTCTTAATCTCTTTAAAGCGATCTCGCTGAGGACCTTGGGGTAGTCCTAAACCATTCCTGATATAACCCTTACGTTCTTTTTCAAGTAGTCGCAAGCTTTCAGCATCGAGATCGGGTTCTTTACTCTTCTGAGCCTGGTAGGCAGCATCGACGAGTTTGAAAATATCCTCGCGCATGTTGCACTCAATAGAGAATTCATCCATGATCTTCTCCGCTTCGGTGGAAGCATTGCGTAGGTCGGTGTCGCTCGAAACATACTGGTAAAAGCCGAGGATACGAGTGTTCAACTGTGACTCATTCTCATCTTCTGCCATGGGTGCTAGGACCGAGGCGAAAGTTGCGGTTGGGGCAGACACATCGGCAACAAGCTTGTCTAACAAAGACCTCGTAGTATCGCAAATGGTCTGGGCATCTTTGACAATAGACTCTTTGGTACCTGTGAAAGTCGGTGGTGCCTGGGGAGGATTCTTGTACTTGTCCGGAGCCATAGTAGCGGTCACGATTGATCGATCTGGAGTTGAGCGTGTGAGGGGGAAAATAGTTGTCGAGGGAATCGTCTTTGGTCGTATCTGGTTAAGATACGAAGTAAGACGAGAAAGAGCTCGTGGGGCAGCCAGATTGTAGGCTATGGCGAGCAGGAGGATTAGGAAGGAAGCTACTAGGAAGAAAGAAGGACGGTGGTAATTTCTAGTAGAAGTAGCTCGACTAGAGTTCGCCAGTATGTATCACGAGGGGTCTTGAGGGGTCTTGAGGGGTCCAATGGGGGGTTAAATACAGCAAGACCGACGCGGGGCTTTTATGTAAGTATTACCTGGGAAGATGTTAGGCAAACAAGCACATAGAAGCCTAATTGCGGGTGCGTATATCGGAATATTCTAAGATTGAATCTTATAGGTATTATCGGATGCAAGTGTCCACCTTGGGTACGTGATAATATAATGTTGAGGGTTTAAACAGTCTGATTGATGTGTTTAGAAAGTTGTATGGAGCTAAAACATATGCTGATCGTGACGAAGCCAAGGCATACCTGCGAGTCCCACTGAACCTTTTCTAGATTGCGGGGGGATCACACTGTAACCTAGGGGTATGGTAACTAGAATTAGGTACATCACCTGGGTACCTCCTTAGGTTAGGTACCTGCTGGCATTCCGGTCGTTACGAGCCAATTAAAACAGGTACCTTAGATTAGGTACTTCATACACTAAAAGCCAACAAGCGGGCTCTCATCATTTGCAAAGCCGAACATAACCATTGAAATTCCTTGTCCTGGATCGAGAAGAAATTTTGTATTACGTACAGAATCGGTGAAAAGCAAAGGGGGCTCCGAATGCCCACGCCACCATACGATCCTATTCACCTCTCTTCCGTATCTTACTTATGACTATCGTAAGAGACCAAATAGGTCAATCCAGTTTCACATAATCCCGTCAATGAGCAAACGCCATATCGTCCTCCCAGTCATGCCTATGATGTGATGTATTGATACTCTTCTTTTATAAGAAGTGTCGTAGGTGCATGTAATAATTTCTACGCCTCTAAACTCCAGCTTCCATCAATGCTCGTAAGGATGAAATGATCTTAGTTGGCTAGGATGGTTCGGACAAGTTCTGCATCGTATTAGTTATTGCTCTTGCTCTTCCTCCAATCATTACTTGGTTTTAAAGATCCTGTACTCACCAGTATAGTTGACTTGTCCTGAGCTGGTGTCGACAGCCTTGAGTAGCTCGTCCACTTCCTCATCCGTCATCTTTTCTCCCAGATTCGTTAAGATGTACTTGAGTTGACCAACACCAATAAAGCCAGTCATGTCCTTATCGAAAACTTGAAAGCCGCGGCAGTATTCGTCGGGTTCGCCGGGATCGCGGAAGCCACCTGGTCGATTCAGGATTTTCGAGAAAGTCTCGAAGTCAACTACAACGATGCGGTCATATTAGCTAACCGTATTCTAGTTATTTGTAGAATGTACCTAGCGCTCAGTTTCTAGGTACTTGTACATTGCGCATGTACATAGATATTGACATAGAGGCCTATCAGGGAATAGGGGTACTCACAGTCACCACCAACATTACGCTCCAAATCTCTGATCTCGGCTAAGGTAGGGTTCTGGCCACAAGCGCGCAGGAGGTCGCCGAGGCTGTCGAGGGAAACACGGCCATTGCCTCGCTTGTCGAATAATGAGAAAGCCTCCTTGTAGTTAGTTGAAGCCTGAGCATCGTTAGCAGCCATATCGACGACAATTTCTTTAAAATCTCGGCTAAACGCAGAAGTTGTAAAAGCGAAGCAGCTGAGATCTACTAAGGAAGTAGATATGATGAAGTCGTTACTATTGCTTTATTTTCCAAGAATTGAGTTGCTTTGGAGAAATGATGAAGGATCGCGAATAGTAATTCTTGGGTGCGGCGTCACTGCTGGCTACATGTTGCTAGCCGCTGAAAAAGGATTCTGCTGACTGGTCGTTTCCCATCGCGTAACACCTAGACTAAGCCAGGACTTAGGGGGTTACGAGGGGCAGCAGCAAGGAAACCCTTTGTTTATTTTCTCATGGTACAGATGTAGATAGTAAATCCAAGCAAACAAGAGGAACTCACCATTTTGAGGTATTGAATGTTGGAATTGTAAACAGATTGAGTCAGGAACGGCGTAAAAACGGAGTCGGCGTTTGTGATGATATTTTCTGGAGTTGTGAGGACGATGGTTAAGGTAATAAGAAAGTTGAATAACTAACGGAGATGAAACAATGTAAGTGAATTACCCCCCTACCTTAGCGTAGTTCTACGTGCTGGCAATTAAGTGGATCATGATCAAGTTGGGCTTTTAGATTGACGGGGCAACGACGTAACCTAACCTTGTTTTAGTTACTCATGCACATGAGCTGGGAGGATTTTGTTTGGTTCTAAATCCAGAGCGGGCCAGAATTCACCGCTGAAGCATTGAACCAATGAGTGCTATAGAACCACTTACACATATCATTGCCATTGAACTTGTGAATGTGTACCATATTAATTCTGCCAATGCATAGATGTTTACATACATGTAGGCACCTATTCACCTCAGATTAGCATTCAAAATATCGCTACATACAATTTCTATAGGTGAGATGCTTACAAAAAAAAACTTCTCTACTTTATTGAAAATAATTAACTAGAATAAAATATCTAAGACTTCATCCTTCAAGGCAAATAGTCCGTGGAGGAATAGAGACAAGAGTGATGATAACGACGCTAAGAAAATAGCCTGGAGATATTATAAGACCATTCCGATCCTTGCGACCATGACATTAAGGCGCTAGTGGTAATATTCATACATCACCGGCGCCGAGCCATTAATATATAAGTACCCCAATCATTCTCAACTTCGGCCTCCCGCCACCGCTCTCCCATGGCCTTCCATTCCGGTACCACATCGACCATGTGATCCCACATGATATCAAGTATATCCCCATCTCCGCCGTCCGCTCTACTCCTCGCCTCGGGATGAGCCTCTTTCCAGCCAGTAAAGCAGCTAAACGTCTTCACATAGCCTTCTATCTCACCTAGCTTCATCTTCTTCCTCAACCAGCGGGTCTCATCTGTCCCCTCCTCACCGGGCTCGTGCTCTAACCTGGTAACGTCTACCCAGTCTGTTTCAGGGGGCTGCACACTGCGTAGGAGATCCCGTAGGATATTACGCCCAGGCTGTTCCCAATACGGACCCATTCCTTCTACGCCCGGCGCTACTTCGCCGAACCCGTAAACGAACCGCTCCATAATTTCGGTAGCCGGTTCGGCGCCGATAAGCACGTTATCCTTATACCCCCAGAAGGCGACTGTGCCGCCGGAACGCACCACGCGGGCGAGGTTCGGCCAGACTTTACCGTAGTTGAACCAATGCGCGGCTTGGCCCGCAACAGCTATGTCCACGGAACCATCAGATAAGAAGTCTAGATTCTCGGCACTACCCTGGCGAAACGTAATGGTAGGATCTGTCGTCGTTTGCTTTGCTTGCGTTATCATCCCTGCTGACGGGTCGATCGCAATGACTGATTTGAAATGCGGTCTGAGATAACGCGCGATAAGGCCATGGCCGCACCCAAGATCCAGTAATGTTCCGTTGGATGCGGGTAGCTTGTGATAGTTCAGTACGGTACGGAATAGTGATGGGGGGTAAGCAGGCCGAAAAGCTGCGTAGGCTTTGGCAGAAAATGTTGATCGGCTGTACTTCTGTTAGCGAAATGCTTCTTAAAGGGAAGGTCGTAACTAACGCAAATGTCGCCATCTATTATGCAACTCAACTAACGAGAATAAGTTGGGATTTTAGATCTTAGTATTATATTAGTACGTATGAGGCACATTTGTTGGTATTATAGAATAGGTTTAGGTAGTCAAGGATAAGAAGAAAAGGCAAGGATTAAAGCTATGTAGAAGGAAGTACACTCAGCTGGGAAAATGTCAAGTTTCAGCTACATTGATCCAATGAGACGACACTCAGTGAATTATACGCCATCGATAGGTAAGGTAGGCACCGATTGTGCCAAGACTTGGTATAAGTAAGCCTCGGGATGTCAACTTCGAAGATTGATAAGAGAATAGAACAGAACACTACATCATTTATATGTTTCTCAACGATTTAACTCAACATTACCTCTCAATTAGAACTAACAAGTCATTCTCATTTAATAATAACAAACAAACACATCTCCCTCTTAATACCTCTCTTTCACTAAACCTACCTTATTAAACCACATTTACCCCATCATCGATCTATTAATGCTCAAGATGACTACCGAAACTACTGTTCGAACTTTCTTCAACTCCCCTCAATTCGCCGTAGTAGGCGCAAGCACGAACCCCGCCAAGTTCGGTCATAAGGGTAAGGACATACCCCCCCCCCCCCCCTGGTTAACACTCTGCTACCTTATTCGTTCATCTCATTCATCAATGGTCGCCCCGATCTCTCTCAGCTGCAAACGCAAAGTAACAAGTGCGCGTTATTTGCATTTGGAGGCTTAAAGTGGCCTGTTATATGCACATAAGATACGACTACATAAATACGACTTCATTCTATTATAAAAAAAAAACAAGTTGCTAACTTCCCTCTCCCACGCTTAAAGTCTTCACCTGGTACCATGCACACTCGCTCCCGGTGACGCCTATCAACCCGGCGAGCGCCAGCATAGAGACGCCTTTCGGCGTGCACCCGACCGTCAAGTCGCTCGCCGACCTGCCCGATCCGCAGCACACCTCGCTATCGGTCATCACGCCAGCGCCCGTGACCTTAACCGTGCTAAAGGAGGCCAAGAAGCTCGGTATTCCCGCCGTGTGGCTTCAGCCGGGCACCTGGGACGATGCGGTGCTCGACTATGCGCGCGGCGGCGAGGAGGGAGCGGAAGAGGGTGGCTACGAGGGCGCCTTAGTCGCTGGGGATGGCGGCAGCGGCCACGGCGGCTGGTGCGTCCTCGTCGACGGTGAGCGTGGCCTCAAATCGGTAGGAAAACTGTGAGTCGATTCGTGCTGCACTTCTACCAGTTGAGCGTCGACAAAGGCTTAAATTGCTAGGAAGAGGCGTGGGGTGGGAAAGCTTATGGGAGCGGTGTGCGCTCTAATGTGAGCGCGACGACTTGCGCCGATATCATATTTCGACAGATGAATCTTCGTCACTAATTGATAGAATCCAATTGCACATTTTAAAGCTATGAATCTGTTTAACCCTTTTCTTGAGATCTGCTAGCTCCCAGCATCCCATCTCACCCAAACACTTAAGCATTAAACAGTAGTTTGCTTGTCGAAGTAGTTTGTCAAGGTATTCGATTGCTTCGGAGTAGCGGCTTTCTTGACCTTCTTTGAACTTCCTCCTTCGGGCTTCTTCCCGATTTCTAGGATATCCATAAACTCTTCAAACTCCGCCTTCGGAACTATGCCCCCACTCGCTTCTTTATGTCCCCTCGCGAACGATTCTCCAAGTCTTTCGCGTAGGGTCGGGTTTGGCGCCCTCGCGGCAATCTCCTTCAACACTTCGATAATGTTTACAGGCGGCTCCCTTGCCCTCGCGCTCCGAGGGACCCGGCACGAGAAGTTGACCATATCCGGGAGATAGCCTTCATTAGCTACCAGGATCACCTCTAACTTTGGTGACTGTAGGTGCCCCGCCCAGCGCGTTGCTATCACTGGATGAATTTGCGCGGCAGATTTGATGCGGAAAACAGCAATCTTGGCATCGCCCGAAAACTTCGGGGCCGTGTGAGTGCATCGTTCTACTTCGGCGTTCACTTCAGCCCTGGCGGCAAGGAGACTCTGGTTCTTAAGAAGTTCCCTGGGCGAGCTGGCAGCTGTTAGAGCCTCCCAGGCAGCGGGAACATCATAGGTTGCAGTTCGACGGGGAGCATTGATAAGTGACACGGCATCGTTCAGTGCCTTTTTGGTATAGGCTTTAAAGGTAGCTTTCATATCCGGAAAAGGTGGCTCCCACTTCAGCGTATTGCCTAAGTCACCATGAGTACCCATTACGCATAACCAATCGCATTCTTTCTGCACTTGCTCATGCAACTCATTGCAGATGTAGTAGGTAAGTAGTGAGCTCGTAGAGACTGGAGGAGAGTTGCACGCTGTAACATGCTCTGAGCCCTCAGGAAAATCGTCCTCCAATGCCCAATGATGGTCTATGATTAAGGCCTTATGAGGGGCGTCTATTACTGGAGGCGAATTTCTCGATCCTTGATCCAAAACAAATATGTATTCGGGACTATAAGCAGCCATAGACGCGCGCTCATTCTCTTTATAGATATTGCTACCTTTTTGAAGCAAATGGGCCGATATGAGATGAGGCTCTAGACCAAGTAAGACAAGAGTCTTCTGCAAAATAGCGCCTGATGTTAAACCATCTGCATCTTTATCAGGTACGATCAAGGTCTTCTTTTTTGCAGAAGTGCTACATTGTAATTATTAGTTTAAGAGGTGGATATAATACAAGTTACAGAACATGCCACTCTAAAATAAAATCTCGAGCACGCTCGATCTGCGCTCTAGGAGCCGGCCATACGATTTCGCCCGATTCCTCGTCTCGGATCGAAGGGGTTAGATGATACTCGGGTACTTCCGGTCGAGGTTTCTTAGCTCTTGGCGTGGCTTTTGATATTGCTGATGCACTGCGCTTCATTTGGGTTATGGTCGATGCTTTGGATCCGGTAGGTCGATAAGTTCTAGAGTGTGTGTGAATAGTAAACCGACCAATTATTTGTTTAGAAGCACTTGTGCACCCTCTGGTAAGAAAAGTTTCAAGTGCCCTTGATATATTGACATAACTGAGGCTTGAATTCATCTGGTGCACCAAATTATCATATATCCAAGCTTCTTGTTATGGTTATCATCAGTTAAAGCTTTATGTTCAATATTGAGACATAATAGAAAGAACTCGAGTCAACATTAATGACGTCAGCTTAAACATCTAGCCCCCCTTTTTATTGTAGTATTTTGCTAACCTCTACTTAGAGGCAGCTTCACAGCGGTTTGTATATTTTAGCTTCATTACTAATTTTATTGCTAGAAATAGTCTATTTAACTTAAGGGCAAAGTGGTTTCCAAATGTAATAGCCGAAGTCTTTACATCTATCTCCGGTTGGTTCAAGGGACACTTTAGCAGTCTATTTTAGACGTATTTTATAATATACGTAACTTAACTCAGGTACTTATGTATCTAGAAGCTTAGCAAGTATATGAACTAAACGCCGAGGATGTGGCTTTTCTTTAGTGGTCTTACCCCTTATTTGATTGCAATCTCATGTCATAAGCGGTCGTTACCTTGATGCAAAATATTCAACTTAGGCTACATTAATCAGTATCTTACCCCATTAACTTATTTTAGAATATATTTCATGTCTCCTAGAAAGCTGCGTAGCTTGATAATAGAACATCTCGAAAGTTGCAGAGATGATGAACTTATTCATTATACTAGTTACATCTATTAGTCTATGGCGGCTGTTCAACAATACCAATGTGAATCACCGCAGCTAAAATTCAGTGCAGTGATAACAAAGACTAAGTAGTTTAAAGTTCTAAACGTCACTCGTTAATATAATGGCTACCACTTAGAGATATGATTCTATGTTATTTATCTAGATACCCATTTTATAATTGTATTATAATAATCTTCATAAATAACATAGTAAGTCATATTAAGTAATACTATTCGGGTGAATTATATATATTATTTCCTTTCTATGACAAAAATGCAATACGATACGACACATATCACATCATAAACCACCCATAATTATATTCAGAAATATTCACAAGTCAAGATATATCCTCTGGGAAAGTATTTAAATTCGACCTCAGCAGCACCATTGTCCAATTCTTCCATCCTCAAACCCAGTCCTACCTCAATACCTACCACAACACCTACCACAACACCTACCACAACAAATCAAACATCACAAGGACGAGACGATAGCACATCTCTACCTTCACAAACTATCCACATCCAAAAATTTTACCATCATGTGTTACATGATAGATCATTTCTGCAAAACATGCAGAGTCCATATTTGGGGACCGGAATATATTACCACCTGCGCCAACCACCAAAAATGCATGTCAATGCCGAATCAGATATGCGATATGTATTGCAGTCAGCACCAGAAAAAGAATTAGCATCAAATTTCCTCTCAATAGCTGTTGCTGACGATCTTTGGATCATATTGGACACCGCGCGGCATTAGGTAATCATAGGAGATTCCCAAAGTATCTGGGGAATCGGAATGGGAGGGCGTTATGCATAGGAGCAGATAGATAGTTTACCGGACTATATCTGATAATATATTACCTTTACCTAGGTACCTATTGGTGTAATACGTGGAGTTAGCTTTATTGGAGTTGTTTTGTACCCTCCCCTTAACGTAGTACTATGTTTAAACGTAAGAAAATATGTATGAGGGTAAAGTGAGTACCTATAAGTGTTGCTTTAACCTCTAGTTTAACAGTTTCAACAATTAGAAGCTGGTTTCAGGGGGGGGCTGGATGAAATTTCTGCTGTGGTTATTTGTTAGGATATATTATAGCACGGAGTGAGAGGCAGGACTTTGGCTACTAGTATAATAGTTTATTAGTGACTGTTTTAACCTATATATCACCTCCTAACAATGCTGCTTTACAGAACGACCAAATATTTTTAAACGACAACAATAATGAAAAGTGTTATACTGGCCATATGTATTCTTATGTTTGGCGAGACACTGGCTTTGCCTCGGTCCTCAAGTCATCCGACACACCATAGCCGTGCGCTGTATAATTAAAAATATATAATCTTTAAGATGTAGGTACCTAGGTATCTAGGTAGCTAGTAGTTTCACACGTCCCTCGAACGTTAACTAATTCACTATCACTAGGTACCAGTTACATCTATGCATAGACTCAAGACAACACCCCAATGTTAACATGAATCATGACAACCGAAAGATGTTACAGTAACTGTGAAGGCAATCCAGAATCCTACACATCACCTACTGAAAAATAGTCACTCAGAAATTCGAATATATATCATCTGCTTAGTTGCCTGTTCTTTATGGTAGCTATTGCAAATAACCCCAGCGATTCGCATTAGTTATCTTATTTGGATGAATCACTTATATATCACCTTGATGTAAAATGGAAAACAACGTGACGAAGAACATATTGCAGAGTTCTACTCTTGTAACTATGGGTGAATAAGTACATAAGGTAAGTACCTAGGTATATCGGGCCTCCTAATACAATATATAAAGTCGACCTCACCCGCACTTTGGCCTAGCCCCTTCATTCCAAAAACCAAACTCTACCACCTACCTCAATTCCGAGTTCGAGCATTACCAGAACGACGAAACATTCGCACCCAAAACTAGATCGCTCTTTAGAGTCTTGATTAGCATCAGCATCGTAATCAATACCATCATCATGACCAATACCGATACCATGACTAGTACCAACATCATGGGTAGATTCAGGGGCAACCGCAACGCCGAGCCTCGCATGCCAAACCCAAGGCCACCAAAGCCAAACCCGAGACCACATCCGAATCCCAAGCCAGCTCCCAAGCCAGTCCACTGAGGGGAATCACACTTGGGAGGATCAATGTCAGAACAACAAGCCGCCTCTTAAGCTCCGAGGCTGTTGGTCTGTAGATCACGAGGAGCACCGGAACATTTATGATTTGCCTAGGGCATTGCAGTAGGAAGAAATTATGGGCGGGGACGGATAGGTAGTTTACTAGGCCACCCCTAAGAATATACTTACTTCTGCCTACCTATAACTATTGACGCAACCCGTAGATTCGACTACATTAAAGTGATATCTATGCTTTTTTCCTTAATTATTCCTATGCCATAAAACTAGATACTTAACCTACCTAGGTAAATATAGCATAGCACCCAAAGTCCTAAGAACTCCGTCCATGTTCCAAGTTAACTAGCATTTAGGTGCGAAGTGAGGAGATATTCTTGTAAGCATCGGCTTTCGCGGCGTCGATAACAAAGGCCTAGTTTTAGGAGTATTGACGAAGTATCACCAACCGATACATCAACGAAAATGCTAGCGAGGTGATTACAATCATACCTGTTAACGTCTTATGTAAAGGCACGATGGAACGCTAGGTACCTAGGAGGTAGTTATAGAAAGCAAAGGGGATAAATACTCGAGCCAAGTTCTACTCTATCCTCAAACAACTTACATCGTCGCGGAATATGAAGCCCTCATAAACTGATTTGGCCACCATACATCTAGGCCTAACTTCCACGCAACCTTGAACACCCAATCCGATTCCCTAAGGAACTGCCTTCCGACCAAAATAACATCGGCCATAGGCACTTTGCCGTCCTTTGCGCTGGTCATCTCTTTCGCCGTCCTAGCCTCCTCATCAATAGCCCTGTTAAGCTGCACACTAGTGTCAGGACTCTCGACAATATCTCTTGCCTGTTCTGCTTCGGTAATTAGGCCAACAGCACCGATTAAAAGGTTTAAACCATCAGAATTCACGGCGTTTCGTATACGCCCGGCGATATTGACGTGGCAGTTCTTGGTGTTAACCCCATCAATACGTTGGCCGGGATTGTTTCCGCCGCTGCTAACATCCAGTAGGTCAACGCCCAGAGCAGGAAGTTGTCTTGCTACCTCGATCGTCGATTCAACATCCCACGAACCCAGTTCCTTACCTAAATCGGTGTCTTCTAGAAATTCGGTTGCTGACATGCGAAGGAAGAGCGGCATACTTGATGGGATAACATCCCTGACAGCTTCTATGACTTCGAAAAGGAGTCTTGTCCTGTTTTCGAAACTACCGCCGTACTCATCCGTCCTTCGGTTGGAGATTGGCGATAGGAACTGATGTAGAAGATACCCGTGTGCAGCATGGATCTCGATCACGTCAACTCCAGCCCTCATACTCCTCTCCGCAGCTTTCGCAAAATCTCGAACGACCTCTTTAATTTCTTGCAGCGTCAAGGCTTTCGGAGGCCAGAACCTGCTCTGCTCGCTATCGAAAAAGCCATCCCAAGTCTGGCTGTCGCCACCACAAGGGCCCTTCACGTCGTTTGGCCAACCGCCGATGTCTCGGTCAGCTCTCTTGGACTTTCTGCCGAGGACCGTAGATACCCAAGGCGCGGCGGTGCTACTCTTGCGGCCAGCATGCGCTAGCTGTATGCCTGTAAGAGCACCTTGAGATCTGACAAAGTCGGCAACTCGCCTCAAGCCTTTGGTTTGCGCATCATCCCATAAGCCAGGGCAATTTATCGAAATCCTCCCATTAGGTTGAACGCTTGTAGCTTCGACGAAAACGAGAGCTGCTCCTTTGATAGCATAATGGCCCAGTGTTACAACATGCCAGTCCGTTAGAGAACCAATTTCAGGTCCAGATGATGCCGCGGAGTATTGGCACATAGGTGAAACTACGATGCGGTTGCGAAGAGTGACTCCGCGGATTTGGAGTGGTCTGAATAAGGTGGGTGTCTTTGAGGAGAGCTCCTTTGGAGTGCCGGGCGAGTGTAGATGCTGTGGTGTAAAGTAAGGAATGCCCGGGACTGGGGTATTAAGGTTAGATAGAGACATCGTAGTGGTTAATCAAATAGGTTTCATGCTCGATAATGCTGTCTAGTGAAAGGAGAGATACTGAGGGCTTATTTCTTCTCGAAGAAGGCAGACGGCCATATTTATAAAATAGACGGGTACCTTATACGCATTACATGGTGTAGAATTCTACTGGGACATCGATATCACTAAAAATTATTACACGAAGTATCCTAGATGACATTTATGGAACAGTCTCCGCGCCTTCGTTAACTACTCGAAGGGGAACGAGGTGATACGGAAAGGTACGGAGCGGGACCGTCTGGTGGGGCTCGTCTTCGTTTATTTCCTCAAAGGGAACGATCAAGAAAGTCCACTTCTCCCCTATTGGTCATGATTTTGTCGATTACGTGCAGTTCCAGCATTATGGTACTTCCCATACTTCCAGCTCTTCATCTCTCTCTCTCTTACCTAGGTACATACTGAATGTTAGGTACCTCCTAGGGAAACAACGCAACACAGGCAATACCTCCTAAACCCATATCCATAGTATTTTTCTATACTACCCATCAATATGGAAGACAGGGAAGAAGCAGCGCGGACGGCCGGCAGCGGCGGTTTTGTATTTATCACAAACGATAAACCTCCAATAGAGACCGGCTCCCCGTCGAATCAGAGGGGAAAGAAACGTCCGCACCACAAGAGCCGCCATGGATGTCTTGCTTGCAAACGCCGAAGAGTTAAGGTAAGTAGTAAACTAGTTTAATATATATCTACTTCTATAGGAAGATATGCAAATCAAGGTAGATTAATGTATTTGTTGGTTAACATGTGATTCTGCAGTGTGACGAGCAGTTCCCCTGTTCGAATTGTTTAAAGAGGAGTGATAGATGCATCTATTCAGCAGCTGATATACACAAAAACAACAACGAATTAAGTCCACGCATTTCTCAACCTACTAGTCATCCTGTTTCGGATGACACCAAGATTAATTTACTACATTTAGAGCTATTCTATCATTTTCAAAGAGATATCATGAACACCCTTGTCTTCTCTGAAATCTGGCCACACGTTCTTCCGTGGTCATTCCAGGTGTGGCAATCTCTTCTCCATATCCTTCCTCTCTGTCCGTATATCATTATACATGGTGACTACATGTACCCGAGAGGAGCCGTAATAGATGCATTAGCATTGCATTAACTAAGGAGGTCATAATAGGAACCCTACATCATGTGCACGATTCTCTGTCTCTCAGCAACCCACATCTCTACCCTACGACCTCAAGTTCCTCGCTACTCTCGTGTCGCTCTCCAACTATTAGGAAAGTCGGCGTCACTCTTCAGAGAAAAGCTGTCTAGTCCTGTTACGGCCCAGAACATCGAAGCTCTGATAGCAACTTCTGTCCTCATGCACTATATTTCGTGGAGTCATGTGGAATTCCTTGAGGAGCAAGATCAGTTTCCAAACTACAGAGGACATGAGAATTTGATTATGCGTCTTTCACAGGACCCCCTTTTCCAGCTAAGCTCTGGAGTACGAGGCATACTTTCTGAGGCATACCTAATCCTCTGGGGTAGTGACAGCGTGTTCCTTTCTGCAAGTATTTACAGTCCGATGGCTGCGATAGAAGAAGCTATTCTACAACATGGAGACGATCCCCATAGATTTGTCAACTACTTCATGGCAATATGGGATGATCCTCGCTATCAGGCTAACATATCCGAGAAACAAGGAGAGACGCAAGAACAGTCGTCAGCTCCTCCGAATCTCGATGTTTCTGTTCATCGAGAAAATGTGACAAACTATACTTGCACTATGGCAAAGCCAAATTATACGTGCGCAGCTTTCAAAATACAGTCAAATTACCCTTGTAATGACAAGACGCCCCGAGAAGAGCAGCGCTTAGGTTTACATATAGACGTGGCCGGCACCGAAGCAACATCGGCGTCGCCTCCACACATCGCGACCCCCCAGCGAATAGCTTTTGAGCGCATTGCTAAGAGATTGTCTCTTCTCTTCTGCCTAGCATCCATATACAACTCTAGCGGGAACCCGACATCCCAGAGGTTAATGCACCTTCAGCCTGACATCGAACGTTGTTTCTTTACCTTCCCTGTTCTTTGCAGCGTAGTTTTCCGCGAGCTTGCTCTCCAGCACGACTCCAGGGCTCTAGTCATACTCCATCACTTCTATCAAGCCGCACGTACTCTGCTTACCAGCTCGACATCTTGGTGGGCCCGCCAAAGGAGCCGCGTCGTCGAGTCTTTAATTCTACAAGACTTGGCATCGAGGGGGCTGCAAACGTGTGTCTTGGGAGAAGCTGGGGACAGTGAACCAAACTGATAATCACAACCTGATTACCTGCTCTTATGAGTCAAGCTGCTTCTACCATGACGTCGAAGATATATGGGTAAAAGATGTGGTGTTACCTAGAGTTCGTCCGTGGGGAATCCCTAACGATAAGTTCCATAACTGGATACTTAAGGTAATATCGTGTTGCCGTGACTTGTAGTCAAAGTAGTAAGCCTGTTTCTCTTTCAACTTTGACCGTATGAGTATCCTATCTACCTTTTTCCATAACTTAAACAACGACTCCTAAATTTGTGCCCCCCGCCCCCTAAATGGACTTTGAGTCATTCATCTCTAATATGACTTCCAGCACACCGTGCTTTCATTTCCTTCTTCCCCATCAGAGCACAAGCACAGCATTGAGAGCCTTAGCTAACAATGAGCTAGCGATATGGCATCATCTAGATATTTCAATGCAAGCTAGTCTAGATCTTCCTCGACGGAGGCTTTCTACGTACGGTATATTTGCCGATCTTGAACTTTAGGCTAAATCATTTCGCGGCCACGACTTCACTTACTCTCCCACTCTTTCCGTACCCGACGTAGTAACACGGAAGCTATATCGCACAATAGACAAGCTCATCCACCGGAAGACTTGAGTGTGTTCCTGATGAACCTAAGGTGGGATAATCATTGCCAGAATAAATACCACCTACCTCCAGCACTTTGGTAATGTAACTCGACATCCTTGTCTTCTAGCGATCACATCTCTTCCAACATCGTACCCGTATCTATTGTCAAAAAGTGCTTTCTAGCGAACGGTCATTTACAATACCTCAAAGGCAGCATTACTCATTATTCATGATGCTATTCCAACATTTTGCAGTTGCGCTGCTCACCGCAGTCACCTCAGCCAGCCCCGTATCTCCGCGGCAGTCATCGGGACCCGGCACGACACTGCAGTCGGGATGGTACTGGGTTCGCGCGGTAGCCTCGCCCAATTTCCACAAATACCTCCAGACAAAGCCAGCCAATGCGCCGGGCACGGCCATCCTAGAGAGCTACAAGACGGCGGGGCAATACAATGTCAAGGAAGGGCAGCTAGTAGCCAACCTAGGCGAAGGGGGCGCGCCGCTATATTTACATGTCGAGAAGCCAGCAGACCTAGCGAACCCGCCGCGAACACTAGCCACCTCGTTTAACACGACCGAGAATACATTTGGCACTTTCGTCTTCCAAGGAGACGCCCTTACTTGGAGCGTCCCGGACATCAACCGTCAGAACCTGGCTGCTTGGCTTGTCTGCAAAGACCAGGCGCTATTTATCAATACCGGCGCCTACGGCTATCAAACCCCTAGTGGATGCTCGGATCAGACTGTAAGAGATTCCTTTGTTCTCTCCCGACATCTCAATTCGTCCTGTTGTAACACGGAAAGTGGCGTACTGACAAAATGACAGATACATTACTATAACGATGCGCATGCGAATGAGTAATACATAGCCTGTCGAATTGAGTAATAGCAGGCATCTGTATATACCTAAGTATCGAGCTGGAGTATAGTGGTATGCATCGTCAATATATTATATTTAGGATCAATGGCGTTGTGAATTTATGGTATTTAATACTACCAAAGGTTCTTCATTAGCATTAATATAGCATATTGAACCTATCCAGTTATGACAAGCCTTGCTACTCGATAGGTAGGGCGTGGTTAACAATATCCCAATGTGCACCTAATCCTACACGTCTGAACTGCTGTGCTGAATTTTGAATAATGTTACACATATAGGAGTACTATTACACGCAAGCACAATCTAACCTAGCTAAGTCTTTGTTTAACTAAGTCACTCCAGAGTAGTGGATTATCAACTATCAATAGCTAGTAGGTAATGTGTGATATGTGATACTTTGACATAATCTCCTTTCATATTGTAAATTGAATCCAAGAGCCTCTTGTTCTATGCAAAGGCGCCTCAGCTATATGACGAGGTGAAACTCAAAGAAAACAGGTGACAATACTATTATCACCTAGCCAAACAAAAGGTGTCAAAGGTTACCTGCACAAGGAAAATAAGCACCAAGGAAGCAAACAATAGTGATACACGCGGGTTGGATCTTGACCTTGTAACTCCGACTGCGAGATAATGGATTGACATAAACAAAACGGACAAGGTAACTAAAGGGATTTCGACATCAGGGTCAAATGTCTTTAGAACTCGATTCTATTCAATACCGAGAGCTTCGAATAAATTTCTCGCGGCCATGTTTCCTCTTCCATTACTCTCCCGACACTCGAGCTCTATTATACTCTATCATTTGTAAGGTCTTTACTTCTGGCTTCTCAACAGGCATACATCTTTCCCAATCACTAAGAAGTAGCCTGTTTATTCCTTAGCTGGACTTCTAAGGAACAATCTCGAGGAATCCCACGATACTAGACCCGACACGTTCCAGCGCACGTTCGAATCTACTACCATGCGTTTATGGGTAAACCCCCAGGAGCTCTTTATGGAGTTGCTCCCGGAGATATGGGAGCGGAACTATTTGCCGTTCTACAGACGCATTTTTGCTGGCCTCCACCTCATTATAACGACGTACTTCCATCTCCTGATGGGATTCTTAGACGAGGAATTCGAACCGGTCGTAATATTCTCACAGCGAATAGCGGTTATCTCGCGACAAGTCTTTTCCGTGCTAGCTGAGCTGGCACACCGCATCATATACAATTACGTAGAGCTATCCGCAGCTATACGCCAGCATGCGCTCTCCATTCTCCTAATTTTTCTGCGCACGGTGGACAGTGAACTATACCGGGTCATGCACGCCGTAATAGACATACTGATGATCGCCCTGCATATAGGCTTTTGGTTGCTGTGTCTATATTCGTTAATAGAGAGACCAATCGATTCCGATGCGATACCGCAACCAGATCCGCTGAGCTGGGCCGCGGAGAATCGTATCAGTCAATATTTCCATAACGCGGGACGGCAGGGAGATAAGTTGCGGTGGAGGCATACGGCGGATGGAAAAGTTGTAGGGATACCAAATTATATTTTTAGTTAATTCATTGGTTTAGCGTAACGTGCGAAACGTAGGCATCTTTGCTTGGTAAAAGGTAGGAATGGGGGTATATATATTAGGTATATGTAAATAGATATCAAAATGTTTTCCGGATTGACGAGGAGATCAAACGCCGGTCCCATGCTATGCGATATGCCGTAATTTTGGAGCCGTATGAAATGCTGTACCATGTCTCATATGCGTCGTTTATTTCGTGTCTAGAGGCCCATCTCCTCGTCGCTATCCTCGGCTCCTTCGCCATTAGCCCTTTCTTCTTCCTCTTCCCTCCTACTCGCCTCGGCACTCGCGCCTAGCTTCCTCACACCTTCGACGACGCCTAACACAAAGCCCCTGCTTTCAGCTAGTTCCATAGCTCCGACACCTCGCAACTTGAGTACACCGCCGCCTTCTAGATGTACGGTACTACTGCGCATTTTCGCCGCACGCACCTCTTGTAGATCCCGCAGTAACGTCCGGACCTCGGCAGCGTTAGGTATATCGTCAGCGGCGTGCGCAAGTAGCGTCTCTGAAAGCTCCAGCCAGTGGTAGGGTAGGTAGCCTGAAGGGGCCTCCTGCGTACACGAGGGGAGAAAGGGCGGCGACAGTAACATGTCCCCCGGCTTCAACTCAAACGAAGATTGTGCGTATGGCCTCGCGCCGCCTCTGCCATCGGACCTCATAGGCGGTGGTGGAGGTGGGGAGAATGCTACGGGGTCTATGTTGGTTTCGTAATGGATGATATCCTTAAGCGAATCTGGATATAGCCAAGGTGGTGCGACGATATTCGCACGCCGTTGCTTCTTAAGTAAAATCGCAAGCCATAGAGGAATCTGAGCACGATGTGGTGGACGTAAAGCTGGAGTTTTGCCCTATATAATGGGATTATTCGGTGTTAGTAGAGCTACTTGATGATGGCGATAGGGATGACGATGGTGATAGCGATGGCGATGGCGGGGTGGTGGGGTTAAATTATTTGAAATATTTGAAATATTTACACTAAGTAACGGAATTGACTCAAGTCTTTGACGAGGAACAACCGTAACCATTTCCATTTCGCAGAGGAAAGCTACTTCTGTTGGCACAAGGCCAGGTGGTAGTGGGAGGGCCATATTATTGTTTAATTAAAGGAATTGGTAAGGCTTCACTATGAAGCAAGGCCATAAAAGAAACGCGACAATGATATTGAAAGTGACGCGCTTTCAGACACTTGATTAATCAATTTAATTAATTAGATATGATTGTGGCGGTACGGATCCGTATGGCGGTGCAGAATTGTGGCAGTTTCTTTTTTTTTTTTCTCGCGTTGGTGAAAGGTTCTTCTATTTAATTAAGTAACTCTAACCATATAGTAAAATTTTCTTAAAAAAATAGCAAAATCAATTTCATATAAAATAAGCCGATATAATACCACCTACCTAATTTATATTAAAATTAATATTATTTTTTAATAAATCTATAATTTTATATAATTGTATTTAATTAAATTTAAATAAATAAATAAAATAAAATAAAATAAAATAAATAAATAAATAAAAATTAATTTATTTATAATTAAATTTAATATAAATTTATATATTTAATTAAAATAATAATATAAAGGTTAAAACTATTAATTTAATTAATTATATTAATTTAACCATTAATTTTATTATTTTATAAATTATTAAAAAAATATAATAAATATTTATTATTATTAAATTATAAATTATTAAAGCTATTAAAAAAGTTTTAAAAATTACTATTAATAACTTTATAAACTTTATAATCCATAAAAATTGGATATAATATTAAGTTTTATTAACGTTAAAATTAATAATAAAAATATTATATATTATTATATATATTATTATTATTAAAACAGTTATATTATTAAAGTTATTATTTATTAATTTATTATATTTAATTAATTTTATTAATTTTAAATTAATATAATTAAATTAGTAATAATAGTTTTTTATTAGTTAACTTTTATTTTATGCTTTTATTAATATTAAATAAGTTTTATATTTAAAATTAAAATTTTATTATATAATAATATTTAATAATTATTATAATTAATTTATTTTAAAATTTAATTTTAAAGCTTTGGGATTATATTAAATTTATATTTTTTAAAATTAATAAAAATAATTTTATTTAAATTTTATTATAACGTTTTAAAAAGTAATTTTTTGGGATATATTTTTTAACGTTTGTAATTTTAAAATGCTTTAAAATTTTAAATTTTTAAATTTTTTATTTTATTTTTAATTAAATTTAATTTATTATTAAAATAAAATTACTAATATTTCTTAATATTAGTTATTTTAAAAATTTATAATTTAATTAAATAATATTATTATAACGCCAAATTAAATAGTTTTAATATATTAACTTATATTACCGTTATATTTATTTTAAAATTTTAAGAAATATATAATATAATATATTACAAAATATTTTTATTTAATAATATTTAAAAAGGTTTTAAAATTTAATTATTTAAAACTTTAATTTATATATAATTTTATAATTAATATAAATTTTATATATTAAATTATATAATATATTAAAGTTATAATAATAATATTTAATATAACATTTTAAATGTTTATATATTGTTTTAAATTAATTAATCGTTATAATTTTATAATTATATATTTAAGATATAATAAATTTATAATATTAATCGCATTAAAAAAAATAATATTAAATTAAATAATTAATAAGTATTATATAAAAAATTAATTAATAAAAAAAACCTTAAAAATATAAAATTTATAAAATAATTAAAAAAATAAAATTTATATACCTTATTATTTTCCCAATTAAATAAATAATAAATTAATAAAAAATTTTATTTTAATATATAAATCTTATAATTAATTAATTTTACTTAAAATATTATAAAATTTTTTAATATTAAAAATTAAAAATATTATAATTATATATATTTTTATTTAAAATAATTATATTATAATATTTTATTATATTTAAATTAAAATAATAATTAAAATAATAAAAATAAATATTAATAAATTATATTTAATAATCTTTAAATCTTAAATTAATTTAATTTGTTTTTAAAAAAAAAAGTATTATTTATATATTTAACGTTAAAATTTCTTTTTTAATAAAGTTTATATAATTTAAAATATTACCTTTATATTTACGTAAATAATAACCTTTTAAACTTTCATAAATCTTTCTTAAATATCAAACCATTTTTTTATATTAAAAACTTTTTTTTAAAACTATAAAAAAAAGATTTTAACTTTAATATTAACAGTATTTTTATTAATTTTTAATTTATTTTTAGTTTTTTTAAAATTTTTATTACTTTTATCATTTTTATTATTTTTATTGTTAATAAACTTTTTATATAAAAAAAGATTTAAATTAAGTTAATCATCGTTTAAAATTATTTTATCGTTAATAATGTATTTTTTATTAACTTTAAATAATAAATTACTTACTATTACCGTTAATTTAACCTATTTTTTAATAATATAATAAATAATGTTTTTTATAATATATTATATACACAATTATTATAATAACAATATAAACGTTAAATTAATAACTTTTTTAAATACCTTTAAAAAATCATTTAATATTACAATAAACTTTTAAATTTTATATTATATTTATAACTTATTTAAACATTTTAATTACTATATAAAATTAGTTTTAACTTTATTTAAAATAAGGTTAAAAATAACGTAAAAATTAATATATAATAAAATAATATTAATAATATTTAATAATAACATATTAAATCAATTAACTTATATTATATATAAATTAATATAAAATATAAAATAAAATTATTAAATAAAATTATTAACATTATTTTATATATATTATTAAATAATAAAATTTTAAAGTTATATTATTATATATTAATATACCATTTAAAAATTTAAAATAAATAAATTACCTTTTTAATTATTAAATTTATATTAACTTTATAATTAATATTATAAATTTTTTTATATTATTACAACTTTTTTATTAATAATTAAATATTTATAAACTTTTTTTATATTTATTTTTAAAATTATTACTTAATATTTAAAATATTATAAAATGTAATAATAATATTTTTATTACAAATTATTATAAATAATTTATTATTATTAATATTTAAATTAAAAAAATTATTAAGGTTAACTTTAAACCCAATTTTTATATAAAATTTTAAATTATTAAATTTAAAATTATTATTTAATAAATAATAAATAATATTATTTATAATTAAAAAATCCGTTTTTAATAACTATAAAATAATAATATTAAAGTTATATTTATTTTATAAAAATTATTAATATTTAATATTAATTAAATTAAGGTTTAATTTATAATTATAAATATTATTTTTAACAATAATAAATTAAATATTACATTTTTTATTATATAATATTATAGTTTTATAAAAATAGTTATATTTGCGTAAAATTTACTAATAATTACAGTTAATATAATTATTTAGCTACTTTAAATAATTATATAAATATTAATAATAATAAATATAATAATTTTTATTAAATTTATTTTTTTTAAATTTTATTTTTAAAATTTTAATAATAAATATATTAAATCTTTATTAATTAATAATATTATAAAAGATTTTATTAGCTATTTTATATAACGTAAACAGGGTTTATAAATTGTATTAAAATAGTAATACCTTTTTTTTAAAACTTTTTTTAAAGTTTTTTTATAAATAAAATTTAAGAATTTAATTAAAAAATTTAAATAATTTAAAATTAAAAAAGTTAAATTGGTAATATTAATTTAAAGCCTTATATAATAAAATAGGGTTTTAATTAATAAAATAATTATAATAAGTTTTAAAAGGATTATTAATATTAATTAAATAAATAATATATTTTATTTATTTATTTATTTATTATTATTATTATTTTAAAAAGTTGCGATAATTTTAAAATAAATATATATAATTTATAATCACATAAAATTATAAATTTATTAAAAAATAATGCTAATCCCAATATAAATTAGGTAGGTAGTATTATATTGGCTTATTTTACGTAAAATTGATTTTGCTATATTTTTAGGAGAATTTTACTGTGTAGTTAAAGTTACTTTATTTAATTCATTACATAAAAAAGCCACTTCTTTTTCATTACGTATTAGAATTATTTATTTAACGTCTCCGCGAAGAACAAGGGATTAGACAATCTATTATTTTAAAGTTTCTAAACCATCTAAATAATATCCCCCCTAATATTGTACCATCTTTAACCGAAGATTCTACTACTTCCTAGAGCAGCGGGATTGTTGAATCGCAGGTCAATGTTCAAAGAAGAAATTTGCTTAATCTCATCGTCACTCAGGTCGAAGGAGCAGCACTCAAGGTTCTGCTTCAGCCGCTCGACGCTGTTCGATTTAGGGATAACAATGATGTTGCGCTGAGTACACCATCGAAGCAGAACCTGTCCGGGAGATTTGCCGTGCTTCGCTGCGACGCTCTTCACTACATCCGTCTCGAATAGAGGCTTAATCTCCTTGGCAGTAGCATTGCCCAACTCGATAAAGCTCTGCGGGCCAAATGTCGAGTAACCGGTTACGGCAATGTTGTTCTCTTGTGCTAGGGCGATAAGGCCGGGCTGCGTTAGGTACGGGTGATGCTCGATCTGCAAGACGCTCGGATGGATCTTCGCATACGACAGCAAGTCATAGATTAGCTGAGGCTGGAAGTTTGATATGCCGATACTCCTAATGAAGCCATTGGGGTTCTCCTTAGTCTGAACCATATCCTCTAGAGCCTTCCAGGTCTCTGAGATTGGCACCTTTTCCAACGGAGTGACTTTAGTCTGCTCTTTATCAGACCAGAAGCAGGGAAAGCGGATCTTGTCGAAAGGGATAAACTCTAGCGCGATGGGGAAGTGGATCAAGAATAGGTCCAAGTATCCCAAACCCCACGCCTCGTTCTCTAGCTTAGCCATCTCGAATGCATGTTCGCGAGCGTGGTAATTGTTCCATAACTTGGAAGTAATGAATACGTCTTCTCGCTTCACGATGCCCTCTTCGATGGCTCTCCGTACACCCTTACCGGCCTCGGCGCTGTTCGTGTAATCCCAAGCGCCATCAATGTGTCTATAGCCTAACTTGATAGCATTATAAACTACCGAGGAGCGAGCTAGGTGTCAGCGACCGATAGGCCTACATATAGAACAATTTTTGAAAGGCTACAGGAGACATACCTTGATCAGCACAGGTATCGTTCGGCACCTTCCAAATACCAAAGCCAACTAGGGGCATTTCCTGTTCCTATTAGCCTCGGCCCACAGAAGCAGAGGGGGGTCACGTACATAGCCAGAGGCCAGTTTTACGGTGGGCGTCTTCGTTGCCATAGTTAACAAGGGATTGGTAGGTTATTTCTTGATATTAAAGGGAGAAGAGTCTAGGAGACACGTCCAAGGAGGTGAGAGGGTTCAGTTATATACCACAGAAGGCGTTGAATTTCACTTTGAAGCTTCTCCACCGATAGTTTTAGCTATTGAGTTCGCGATGAGGGGTTGGGTAGCTGAGGGGCAATGAATCCATGTCTATTACACAATGACGTTAGGTTTTTTTTGTATAGTCTTACGGCTTCTGTGGGGCCCGACTCTTCCACTTAACTATTTAGGATGGCGCGCCGGTCTTCAGGCCTCTCCTCCGTAGGCCCGGCACAGCTTTCCCCTTGCAGCAAATATGCAAAAACCCCCTCCCTCAGTCACACGCCGCAATGAAAAGAAGCCGATAAGGTACGGTGCTGACTAGTATGAAGCTAGGTACCTACGGTATACACTGTAAGACGTATTATATTTTAGGATAGGTATGTACCTTCTACGTAAACTATGCAATATAAACCAACGAGGAAGGCCTGCAAAGTTAAATCTTAGACAGTGTAGTAACGTGGTCAAGCTGATTTAATTATATCTTCACGATTATACATCGTCAAGTAGCGTAGTTGGTTTATATAAATATAAAGACTCCAATCCATTGAATTAGTCCATATGGTTGGTGACTTTACAGATCAACTGCAACTACATCAACTAGGCTAGTAAATCGTTGACCTTGTTGGTCTACCAAGGCCAAATCGGGAAGTTTCCTTTAATATCATTGGCTATTCTTAATTCTTAGTGTCATTTCGTAAGACACGCACGCGAAAACTGTCCCCAAGGGTCGATTAAAATCGAGGTTCGCTTTCTTAAGTAAGATATCTACCACTCCCCGGTGGTATTGATAGTATGTTAAAGACATAGAGGAAGCTAAAACGTATTAATAAAACAGTTCATTTTACCTAAAGAATCAGAGTCAAGTAAGGTCACCTCTTTAAGGATATTGTCAAGACCAATATATATTGAAACCCGATATAGTATAACTATACTGATGAACATAGACCGAGGTACTGAGTAGTTGAACACATATTTGAAGAAAGGCTGTAACATGAGTTGAAGTCATCTAGCTAGATATGACTGGGCATATATGTCAAGCTTACGTTAAAAAGAAAGAAAATACTTATCAGAGAGTATTTTAGTATAAGACTGTACTGAGTTCTCTACTGTGACGTTGAGGTAGATGAGGCTCAAAGCGAAAGAGTCTGGCGCTACATAGATTACCGACTCGCGACACGACGGACCCATAGTCGAACCTCCTGTCGTAAAACTAAACGGCTCTTGAGGAACTTGGACTGCATGCTTATAGGCAACAAATGCAACTTGAGTTGGGAAAGATGACATATGATTACCTATCTCTATGAGCCTTTTTCATCCCAGCTTTGCCAGTTCTGCAAATACTAACAGCCGATATCTCCTTGACATTTTGGGACCACATAAATTACTTATTAATATATAACGTGAGTAAAGACTCTACAATACCTTTCGCTTTTACCCTGAATCCCTAAGTTAGGTTAGCGGTGATCCGATCTGACAGGCTATTATCCAGTTGTGACCTATCTTGCGTCTAATTGTTCGAGTACTAGGTTTGCTAACTTCTGTTCGCTAAATCTCAGATCAACCATCTTATATTTCCCTCTTCCCGAAGGGGTCTGATGATTGTAGGTTTAAAGACAACATCATTCTATCTTGTTGTGTTTGATATGACGATCTCGTTAGACGTGGTTGAGCAGTGAAGAAAAAGCCGATTGACCATTGAAATTCGTGCTCTCACAATTCAGGGTCCCCCCCCCTGTCTCTTCCCCCACTGACCAGGATTCCGGGTGGTTACCCTCCGCCTTTTACACGTACAGGACGCACAGAACGCACTACTGTAATGCCCTGCTACTCGATCCACACTAGCTAAGAGACGTACAACCGCATAATGCCGACGTATCTGTGCCACGGATTTCGCTGGCATCGCCCAAGCATACGATATTTTGTCGTTATTCAGAACGTTGACGACGTCGCATCGGAATGGATTATAGCGCGGCAAAGTCCCGTCGCCCTCCTTAACCAATTCTATGAGCTATTCGACTTTCTACCTCCTTGTCCCCGTCTGGCGCAAAATCTGAGCCCCTCGCCCCATCACGTTCGCAATGACTTCCCAGCAATAAACGGGCACGCCTATTCACGAACGCGTTCCTACAACGGTCAAGGATGTAAGGATGAGGCTACCCATTTTGAAAATAGCGAGAACAGAAATGGCAGCCGACAGAGCAAACTGTCTAATCGCAACAAAACCTCAGAGCAACTACCGACGACCAAGCAACGCGACAAGTTAACTCTATTTCCAGCGTCGGAACTACCAGATCCCAACGACGACGATATACCGTTCAATGATTGGTCTATAGTGAAATTTTTGGAAGAATTTGATCCGTCAGATTTGACCACCGTAAGCGGACAATGGGCATATGTGGCAGATTATGTGGTACGGATAGATACATCGATTTCGGTTGCAGAAGAAATAAGTCGATATGAGACACGGATGAAGACAGAACCTTACAAGCCTATGAGCGGCATGAGTGAAGAAATCTGCAATAAAATAAATACATTCGGCAACAAGAAAGCAGGTTGGTTTGAGAAACTTCGCGATCAACTGCAAAGAAAAGAGAGTATCCGGTGGTATGTCGTGGTCTGTGGTGATGAAGAGCGTATCGGTATCGACTTAACTGAGAACCAAGAAGCGAAAGACGAAAGGGTTAAAGTCAATGGTAGCAAGAACCAATCATCTCAAGGATTAATCGAGGATGGATTTGAATTCCGTTTCCCAGAATTGTTAGTACCACGCCAGGTCACAGAGCAGGGGCCGAGACGTCGAAGAGTTGAGAAAAGCATCACCAAACAGAGTCAGACACCTTTGCCGAATAATGAGCAGCCAGCTACCCCCCTTCCTCCTGGCTCACTGCAAGTAACTCGTAAAATATCGATAGACAATGCTATCAAGCACACGGGTTCCAGGTTCGGCGGCGGATTTAGAAGGCTATTCCTAAGGCGAAAAGCTGATGGTTTAAGCTAAACTATGTGGTTAAGAGTGGCCTAAACATCAGTCCTCTCAATATCCTAATATCCTAAGCCTCTTTCCCTCTCATCGCAATTAACCGGCTCAGGACTCAAGGAGACGCAACGAGAGACCGATATAGCAATCTACCATGCATCAGTATTTCCCTACGAGACCGCAGTATTCTATGACGGCATCGTCGTATCGCTCTCCCTATCACACCGACCAAGTTTTCTGCTTCGTCAACCGCAGCATAGCGAAATCAGCATTAAGATTGGCGATATGTATTTAATATGGATTTTCCATATACAAGTCTGCATTGGTAGTTCATGCACGTATGTGTTATCCATCTAGGTTCTTTACATAGGATGTTTCCAAGGGACAGCACGGCACTTGCGATCATGTTATTAACTACAGCCCCTTCTTACTGAAAATCAAGAGTAAAGTTAAGTACTAGGAAAGAGCCTTATGTGGCGCCTCAAGAGCTGGTTTTAGATGGGAAGATCCAGCAACCTTTCTACCTACATTCGTCATCTTTTCCTAATTTCTTTAACTATGCCCTAAATCGATCAAGACAAGTCGCGCGGCCACCCAGTCTATCTCTATTCGCAGAGTCGGGTATTATTTATTATATCATACGCTCCAATAGTAGTGATGGAGAGGAATCCGACACAAACCTCCGACATTCAGTCCCCGAAGGAGAAGAATGACGATGCTATTTCTCAACCGTGCGGCCAACTCGAACAACTTCGCTATGATCATTTACTACCTACCGAAATTTTATCACATATCGTCAAGTATCTCCGACTTCCAGTCCAAAGCGTAACCTCCGTATTACCTCCGCCCGAATTCCTAGTAAACCGTAAAACCCTCTATAATCTATGTCTTACCTCCAAACTCTTCAACAGCCTTGCAAAACCGCTCCTCTACCAGACGGTCATCTTTTTCCTCGATTCCCGGGACTATGATGATTACCATCGCGCCAACACCTATGGCGGCACAAGGAGTTTAGTAGTGTTAGTGCGAACTCTGCTTTTCAAAGACGAATACTGTGAATATATCGAAAATATAATTTACCCAGCGAGTTTGAAGCCCATTGATTGGTCGACCATAGATGATATAGAACGCGAAGAAGTCAAGTAAGTGTTATTTGGACTTTTTTCACTTTTCCTATTTCGTTCTGGATTTCTTTATATGTATCGGCCATGTTATCGATTCTGGAGGGGTTATGATGTTTGTCTAATACCTATAATCTGTTGTGGTAAATACTAATCTCAGAAGCTATAGTAATATAAAACCTATCCTTCCCAGCTTGCCATCCAGGGATGACCTCTCAGACCGCCAAATATGTATAATGCGTTGGGCTGGTTTAGATCGATATAGGACCCGGGTAGCCTAGTTATCTACATCGACCCTAAGATTCTTAGCGGTTCTTATTGGCCTATCTTACAATCTTAGACTGCTCCTACGCTGGTCCGAAGATAGTCGTTATCGAATACTAGATTCCTTCCTACGTCAAGCAATGATGCAAAATAGGTATAGAATCGTTCCGCAGCTACAGACACTGTATGTTCAACAGCTCGACTTTTTGAGAATGTTTAGACCCGGTATGGAAATGGCAACAGAGTTTCTTGAAGTCGGAGGGATCCAACGACTCCATGTCTGGTATAACGACGGATATCTTCTCTTCTCAGCAGGTCGTAACAATTCATGGATTAGAAGAGTAAGGGAGCTAAAGCTAGTAACCTATAGTGAGTACCAGCCCAAGCCTGTCGCGCGACAAATCTCTAGCATATCTAAGAAGAATTGCCACTGACTGCGGATCTTGTAGTTGATGCCGAAACAATATTCCGTATCTTCGAGTTTGCTGCTAAACTGGAGAGTTTCTCGTTGATCGTGGCGAGCTCTCATGATTTACTCCGTCCTCTACCGGCGACAGACAGAGATCTCAACCATGCACTAGTAAAACTGGCCGGTACCTTAAAGGTGTTAGAGTTAAGGACCTGCCGAAACACTTGGTTTCTACCCCAGCTTGGATCGTCTCGGGTCCTTAACTGCTTGCCTCGACTCAAAAAGCTTGAAACACTAAAGATTGAAATACCGCTTATAACTGGAATTGAAACCAATAAATATGATGCCAGGATACTTGAAAAACTTCCACCGAATCTCATCTCGCTTGACGCGGTCGAGATGTGGCTGGATACAGAAAGTAGCTTCACTCAGAGGGAGGATTTCATCATGGCTTTTTCTACTACGTTCGTCTCCGAGCTTCTCAGAGGGTTATTGCCCAGTCTAAAGCACGTTCGGTACATTCCCGCCGTTGTAAAATGCTGTCTCGGCCCCCAACAGCTTGACGCAATAAAGAGTTTATTTGACACGGCACATGTGTCATTCTCTCACGAGGAGGATAGCTTACCAAGGCGGTTCCTTTATGTAACTGAGTGATAAATATGGCATACTCCCAGCGCATCACGTTCACTAGAAATGGATGAGCAAGAATGCCAGATGCAGCGATGCTAGCTTTCGTTCGTTTACGAGATAATTATCTTGGCTGTGTCTATCGGGTACAAGTCAACAGCGCATCTAGATGGTAATAATAAACTTATACCATATCGCTATTCCTACGCGGAAGCTAAAACATAAATTTCGAAGAAACAAACGTGAAAGGTCTCCAGCTTTCAATTTCACTACTGCTAACTATAGGTAGTAACTATTAACTAACTCCTCTCTTAATCGCTCTCTTCAGAGCTCTTAGATGATAGGATTCTAGCGATATTTCACTACCAATTATTACTCGTTACCTCACTACATAAACCCAATGTGTATAAGTTGTCTCCGCACCCCTACTTCCTTTTCCTTGCTAGTTCATCACAAGTATAATATCCATGCTAGACACTTTATGGACACCTACGAGTTTACTAATGTACCTCTATGTATGTATGTAGAAACTTACATTAGTGTAAGGCAATGTATGTATGTGGCCAACTGCCAACTGCCAACTGCCAAGCTGGATGCCGGCAAGCTACCTAATGTACCTAACCTAGGTACCCCATTCGAGGACGGCCGACGGACCGGGGGGGGGAGGGAGGGTGATTCCTGGCAGAACCTGCCGCTAACCCGCAATCCCGCGTACCTATGAAAGAGGAAAGAAATCTCCGAAGGAGCTGCGGTGTCCCTTTGGTTGTTCGTATGCACACCGCGATTTTTTTTGATTTTTTTTTTTACTTGTTCGAATCCTTCTCCGTCCCCGTTTCCCTGCTGGCAGCGAAATACCGCAGCTAGGTAGGTGGGCTGGACTGGGCTGTTTAGGTACCCTATGATAGCTTCGGTATGGAAATTTCCTCGGGGAGGGGAAACGGGGGAGTGTCCAGGGTTGGAGGCCTATAGGTTAGGGAGATTATGTAGGTAGGTGTGCATGAGAAGGCACATGCAAGTAGGCAAATGCGGAGCCCCGCAAAGGGCCTCGATATCACGGGATCGGGGAGGAAGAGGAGGGGGGGAGGGGAGGTTATTTATTTATTTATTCTTATTCTATTTTATCTATTTTTCTTGAAGTATACATCGTGTATCCATGTCCAAGTTTAGATGTATGTATTAGTGATGTTCCCTGTTCTAGAGTCAGTCCCCTCGTATACCTTAATGCTTCTTGTCAGCGGAACGAAAGCCTCCTAGAAAGTGCATGTATGTAAGTGAGCCTGGCAGTTGATGGTAGCTGACATGCCGGGATGGCCATTTATAGGTATGTTAAAACATCTGAACTACGTTAGGTACCTCTTAATGAAGCCGCTCAATTGCATCTCGCTTATGTCTTCCCACGTGCTAAAATGACGAGGCTTCTCTGTCCGATAAGGTGTGTTAGATCTCTCTCAAAATAGCACGCGATATTTATAAAAGCGAGCAAGTGGGTAACTAAGTGAGGTATAAATAGAAGTAAGTAAGTAGGTAGGTTAGGTAGGTAAGTAGGTAGGTATTCATATTATATATATCTGAAAATCGATTGGGTATAGATGACGACGTAGTTATCTCGACTCATTAATTTTTGTCATTGCCTCGTAACCTCCCGCCATCAAGTAAGTAAGTATGAGCCACTCTGCGAGATATAATCTTCCGCTAACTACATCTTCCTGCCTTTGAATTAACCAACCATGATGACGATGCAGCCTCTGTAAATAAACCAAGAAAGACGCTTGGGAATAACGCCGATAGCGCCGAACAACACTCTCTCAAGACTGCATCAGCTGGGGAGTTGAATAGTACACATTGGTTATACTCAACCAAGAAACATACATGCAACCAAGTGTGTAGGTAGTTAAAGGATAGGTTATACAACAATGTAAGGATGTGAGATGCTAAGGGGGGGTTGGAAGGGCCAGCCAGCTGGCTATGTCTTCTTCGATTTAAGATCCTCTTCCTCCTTGCCGATGACTTCATCGGCACTCATGATGCCGTTCTGGATGGTAGTATGGTGTTAAGTGTTAAGTAAGGTAAGGTAGTATAGGAAGATGAGAATAGCCGCGCATGTCCTTCAGATCGAGATACAACGTATAGGAAAACGTCCGTGGACATTTCTCCAACTCTAGAAACATGAAAAGATTTGGTGACGGTTGTAGAATCCGACCCTTCACCATCGCATATTCGGTGATGGGGAAATTATGTGAACAGGTATGTGAGTGTGAGCAGGGTTATCGGGAATCCGGACCGTAAAGCCTGGACATCCAGCCATCCCCCCCAGACCCAAGAGTTTTCCCCGCCAACCACGCTGGACCAGTCCACCCCCAGGATGCAACCCCAGGGCATCTCCAGTGCTGCCAAAGCGCTGCAGTCTACTACTTTGGCCGCCCTAGGCCCTTTTTCAACGACCTTGTTCCTAGGGGTTCGTCAATCATCTAAGAAATCAGCCACGGAGGGACTTGATCCCTAGGGACCCGACAAGGCTGAAAAGGAATCCGGTGGCTAGTCGCACCAAGTTAGTTTGCCATAACCTCCCTAATTGGGGCGTCGTATCGCAGCTTGCATGC